CGGTTTCATGGTCAACGACGTCCTGCTGCGAACGACGAAGAGGAAGAAAAGTATGCCGATCCCGCTACTGACGATTGACTTGAGGTGGATGTTGACGTTGAAGGCGATGACGTGGAAGATGAAGAGGATAACATCTCCCTCGGTACTCCCACTTCATAAGGAGAAGGCTAGATAGGGAATGGGAATAACCGAAGGGGTGATTAGTAAAAATCCACGAGAGGGAGAAACGAGACTGTAAGCAACTCACAAAGAGGTGCTCTTTCCTCTGTAAGAACTCGGGTGAAGTCATCTCCAAAGAGTGCAAGAATCTGAACGTATTCGTTACGCTCGTCCTTGTCTTCGTACTCGGTCCGGAAGGACGAAAATTCAAATCTGAGTCCAAATCCAAATCCAGGCTCGTCGAAGAGTACGTTCTATTCGAGCTGTCCACTATTATCGTCATCGCCACACCGAGGGAAAAAAAGGTAATTCACCAAAGTGCCGAAAAAGGAGAAGAAAAAAAAAAGGTCAGTAAATGGGGCCGACGAAGGGGTGAAGGGTCACTCACGTCCATATCCGTCAATGACTTTATCCATCCTTCGATGTTGGTCGGCCACCTCAAGCCAAATATCCAACGCCATATTCGTCTTGCTCGAACTTGCTTTCCCCCTGGAGCTTGGTCCTCCTGGCTTCCCACCTACATCCAACACCGGTCTTCCCATCACTGTTCCACTCTTATCCATGCTCGAGCGAGGCACAAAAACTTGTGGTTCGCCCGCTTCGGCATCTTCATCATCCGACGCCTCTTCATTGGGCGCAGTACCTCTATTCAAGACGTCGGAACGGGGGAACTGGTTTGCATTTACAGGAGGACGCGCACTACTACGTGGGAGTTGGGTACTAGGAGGTGAACGATGCTGGTTATGATGATTATGGCGTTGGTGCTGGCGTTGGTCATGGATTTGCTGGTGATGATGATAGGAAGAGGAGTAAGGAGAATGGAGGTGATATGAAGGCTGATTCATCGATGCGCTTTTGAGGCTAGAAGGCACTTCAGTGTTGGGTATGAGCGGGGACGCGGAAGGGGAAGTGGCGTATGAAAGAATGGTAGAGGTAGAAAGGGATGGCGAAGGAGGGGATGAAGGCACGACTTGCTGCGCTGATGCCGCTGCTGTATGCGAGTGAGTGCGAGAGTATGATGATGATGATTGACGGGGAATGGGTACTGGGATCGAGCGAGAAGTCATGGTCGACATTGCGTTTCCCCGTTTGGTTCTATTTTAGCACTTCCGTAGACGTGGAGGAGATAGGCGAGTGTGTTATAGTCTAGTCTGGCGAGTTAGCTATGCGCGCTCAGGTTTTGATTTTGTTTGTTACACGAAGAAAAGTAAGTCGAGTGGCGGGGAAGTGGGTGTTTTTGCCGTTTTCGTAAAAGACGAGGAGGAAGCGAGTCGTGGTCCGTTGTCGTGGTCGATGGTAATGCGGGGAACGGAGGTAACGTCAGAGTTGGGGGAGAGATGGGAACAAAATTAAGAGGAGACGCGCGAAAGAGCGCTTTTATAAACGAATCTAGAGGTGAGGCAGGAAAAATAATCGATAATTTCCTTTTTTTTTTTTTTTTTCTTTTTCTTTAAATTTTAGCACAATTCCGCTTCGATAGATAAGGGAAAAAAGGGCACTATTTTAATTGAAGTAGATAGGATGTCCCAGAATTGCAAATTTCAATTCGTGTTAGTGTTTTACAAATCGGGAAGCGGGAAAAGCAAAAATGGAAAAGGGGGGACCTGTGATAACTGAAAACTGAATTCAAATTCTTACACATATTTTTTTTTTTTCTTGTTACTCGCCGACGTCATTTTTACTACATTTGGAAGAATTGGAAGAGAAAAAAGGTGGGAAAAGCGAATTAAAAGAAAAGATTGTGTGCAAGGGCCGCGGAGGAGAGTGTGGATGGTAAATCCCCCCCAACCCTCACTCTCATCGTCGTCTGTCTACATCCCGCCTACATCCATCCCGTTCCTCCTACTCCTAATAAGCGTACTCCCCTTTCTCTATATAACGGCATGGTCATCTGGCCGCGGTCATATATCACTCACTACCCAAAGAAATCAAAATATCCGACCCAGATAAACCATTTGGTCAAGTATGAACCTGTGACCGTTGTATATGTCTTACATGCTGCAATCCCATCTTATCGAGCGATCTGCAACCATTATCCACCTTACCACACCCCTTCGACCCTTTGTTTGAGTTACCGATGCTCCGAAATGATCAGTCTGCAGGGCGAATATTGGTCAAGCTGCTACTGGAATTCACCATAACAGTACTACTACATGCTAGTAGTAATGAACGGGATTAATTTTGTTGCATCCATGGCACCGCAGCTAGCTAGCTGCCTTCGGGTGATGGGAAAAGATCGATGGATGAATGAAATTTCATTAGGGTTCGAAGGCACGAAGAAAGTGGTGTAAGACAAGTTGTTCCAAAGTGCATGACTACAATGTAGGTGTGTTCCAGGCAAGTTGACGGATGGGGAGGCCGATCATCGGGGAAATCGAGCTCGACGTGACGAGATTGGACTAGGTACTTGGTAAGTTGTTATCGTCATGCACGCGGGAGCGGGGGCTGCCGATAGGGGGAGGAACTTGTTGGGACCAGCGGGAACATCGTAGTAGTCCAAGTGCGTACTGTCTCGATCTCGCCAACAGGAGAAACGAACATACACACGTAAACGCACTAGGAGCTGATACCGTTATCAGTTGGGGTGTCAGATTGCGGGGATTTCCAGATATGAACTAATAGAATTCGGACAACTCCGCGTGGTATCACTCAGCTCCCTCGGTCAACGATGCCACTGCTCTGGAGCCTCCAGTACACTGGAGACGGCCTTATCATGAGATCCCCGGGAAAAGCGAATTACGGCGTCCATCGCAATAGTGCTGTCTGACTGTCCCTTTGGCGACGCCCGCGGGGCTGGCCAGCGCATGATCCAGTCGTCGTGCTCTCTGGGACGTCTGCCCACGTTTAGCGCTGACCTTGTTCACCCCAACTGCCAAGTCCGTGCATGATCAGCATATAGTGCAGTAATACCTACGTTAGCGAGGCTAATGTCCAATCAGAACCAATCATGACCACATCATATTACCGTCATTGACGCTTAGCGCACAAGCGTTTTATCTGTATGTATGTGCATCTATCATCGTTGATATCGCTCGGTGCCATCTCCTTCTCTTCTCGCCACCGGTTATTTTATACCCGCCTGCACGCATTATCATTCCTGTGCCCAAGTCCCAATGGACGTTCATGCGATATTCGGACCAGTGGCCACGCGAATAAGCGCTCGTCCAGCCCCTTCCGTTATCATCGTCCACTTATAGAACAGGGGCGATAGGCCTATCACGTCCGGATTCCATCTTGGCGCTCCCGCTATTTTGGTTATCGTGTATCATGTTTGAATTGAGAAAGCAGGGCCCGTGCGCTTTTTTACTTACGGAGCACTGCGTACCTTGCCTTATCATGATATATCAATATATATCAATATCTCCAAAATAGCCTAGACCTCTCTGTCGTTCCCGCATCATGCCCGCGCGACAAATCACCTACTTGGGTTTGTTACCCAAATCGACATTCATATCACCTCGAGAAGATCCAGAGCCCCAGAAAATTTGACCCAAAAAAGCCATCCACACAGAAATCGGCGCCCCTGCACAGTGGTTTACTACCACATCGTTGCACCCGCGCGGGGACGTCTGCCGCAGTCCACGTATGCACGCATGTGTATAATGTGATCGCCGGCCTCAGGAGATTGGATCCATATCAGTGCCCCCCCCCCCTTTCAACCCCCAACTAGCATCCAAAACGTATATCACTATCACTGAAAATATTGCATATTGTGCAACCCTTAGGCACACTGTACGGACGACCTCATCAAAAGTGCATATGCCACGGAGGGCTTGCGTGCGCAGCGTAAGAGCAACTGTTCACACGACGCGTCCAGTACAACCCTCCCATGTTGGTATTCTCAGAGCGCTGGCTTCAACATATCTCTTGGTCATGATTGGCCTGCTTCTAGCCCTGAAGAGAAAATCATATACAATTTCAAAATATGTATCATGTACATAATCATATGCATGAGCGAGTATCAGAAACTCGCGTATGATCGGCTTATCTGATGCTGTCGACAATATATCTTGGTTACGGTACGGGTACCACTGAATACAACCGTATCGGGCGGGTACCATCTCCCGTGCCATGCAGACAAGCTTCACCGTGTGTACGTGTGCGCCCACGGCATGACAACGCCGCATTTGTCACCATCACCTTATTCCTTTGGTGATACATCATGCCGACCCAACTCCGGCAGCAAAAGATGAAACAGGGAACGGGGGGGTACTTAGCGTTCGTTGTTGTTGTTATCGTTGTGTTGTGGTATAGGCGGTAGCAATACGGCAGTGAGGGTAAAATTGATTGATGGATGAAACAAGTGTAAACCCGAAAATGGACATGAACACCCCACGGGCAGGATTGATAGGAAGGGTTGATGCTGAGAAATGATTCATCAACATCATGCGTTGCTTTGCCGGCAGTTCCAAAAGCATTTATCTATATAAAGTGGTGAATCCCGAACACGTTGAGGTTGATAGCGGCGGTTCTCATGCTGGTGGCATGGCATGGCGGGGGCCGAAATCAAAACTCTTCAAAAGCGAAAGAAGGAAAGAAAGAAAGAAAAAACATCGAATCTCCGCGAAGGAGACCCGAAAGGAAAGAAAAACGACCCGTTGCACGCTGCGCAGCGAAAACGAAATATTCGAATTCTAGAAGGGGTGGGTGGAAAGGAAGGGGTGGGAAGGGAGGGGGAAAGGATACGTGGTGTGGAAGCCCTTTGCATCAGTTCAGGGCCATGCAGGGACGGCACTAGTGATAGAAAAAGGAAGGGATGTTGAAAGTTAGGGGAGTTGTCAATGCAAACACATCGTGTCGCTGGCCTGTAATCACAAGCCAAAAGCTATTTTACCGATAAGGACGGCAGGAATGTCCCAGGGGCACGGTCCAGAGGCGGCAAGCGGTCATCGACGGTATCCTTTCGCATTGGCGAATCGTCAAACGGGTCCGCATCGCCAATTGTTGCAGTGAAGTGATTGGACGGGCTGTGCTAGCTTAATTGAGTAATGTTTTTGTCGCCCCCGTGGCACTAGCAGCTTTCGATAAGCTACACCGTCGATGACATATGATATGCCGGAGCAGTCACCACGGGAATAAAAGCTTCTCGGGAACGAGAGGGGAGGGGAAATTTTGTTCAGAAAATGAATCCCGAGAACATGTGCGTATGTCGAAGCTCCGATACAGATATCCACTGATCGGCATTGCTTTGTGTGAATGCGAAATGAGCGGCATTTTTCTTCACACTGAGGACTGTTGTATGAGCCCGAATGTGTCGCAGTGGGCACCTGCCCCAGAAAAGATTCGGGAGTCGAGGTCAGGTCATGATGCAAGGGTATCAGTGTCAACATCCCTGTCTGCTCGCAAAGGTCGGGATCGAATACGCATGAAGAAGCATTGACCAGGGAAACACTTTTCCATATCATGCAGCGCAATCGTGTCATAGTAGCCCGAAAGGCACGCGGACTCCTCACCTACAGAACGTCACCCTCATGATTTGCCAGTGCAGTATTTGTTTTTTTGAAGGACTTCCAATCAACTGATCCATGAGTCTATGCATGCAGGAAATAATTTCACCTTCGGGATTATACGGATGAGCTGTGGGTAGTCCAAATGCCTCAGACCCTTCTAGCAGTAGCAAAAAGCAGAAAAATATCTTGCAGGAAGTGTACACCACCCCTCAGACTTGAAAAGGATAGTATTGGTGGGCAATAGAGACTGGAGTTGAGCCATGTAGCCCCACGGAGTACCGTGCGTAGGCACGTATTAAGCCAATGATTAGAAGTCCTGGTAACGGGTCGGGGAAATCGTGCGAAGGGTCAACCATCATGTAATGCAAAGAAAAATTCGAACGTTCCAGTACGGGTGTGGGGCGTGAGGCCGCTTGCCCATCAGTGTATACATAGTTCTTTGCGGAATTCGATGGAGCGTCCCATCCTACATGTGCTCCCTTTTGCAAACACTCACCCATTGAAGCTCGTGAATGAGAATGGGTGTAGTATCGCACACATCATTGCGACTACAACCGGATCCGTGATTGGACGATGGATGAGTATGTCCGTCCGTCCAGGCTTATCCCCAGAGTGTTACTGCGATGGAATCCCATCCTGATCCTACGCTGATGCTATTTGCTGCCGTAGCAATCGAATTAGTGCTGAATATAACTTGCAGTTCAATTCGGTTTTGCACCTTCCATACCGGCCATAGTGCAGTAACATACTAGCCCTCGAAATTAAGATCTTCCATCCATTTAATCATCTTTCTGAGGTTCTTGTAAGCCCCAAAGCACTCGTAGCGATGGGTGGAAAAAAATCGCTCAGTTCCTAAGTATCTAGAGGTAGAAGCGCGTTTGGTCATTATCATACCTCGCAAATCTCTCGCACAATTCTGAATTGAACCTGGACCTTCATTAATGCGTAGGTAAGGCATTCATTATGCAATCCATCGTCAAACTTGGGTATGTTGGTCGTCGATCCTTTAATATCCAGGATCGTGGTTGGAAGATCTGGATCCGGAAAACTCGATTCGTCCTTTCCATGCATTTTCGTTAATTTCAAAGTTAGGACTGTTGAAATCACCTTGGCCCGATAAGTTAATACTTCCACAGTGAATTAAAGAAGTGATAGCGGCGAGATGAACTGTGAGTAATCTGGTTCAGTTGACCGGAAGTTAGCTACTTTGAGATGCCTAGAAGCCAGCACTGCTCTAGCTGCGGCTTCGCTGAGTCCTTTGAATCCAATTGTGTTACAGTCCCACCCGCAACCCTATCACAAACACGTAGATATCAGCTATTGACCCTGTGTCCTCGATAAGCACATGCCTTTATGCGGAAATCCGCATGAACCAGGCCTGACGATCAACCAGCCCACCTCCTGTTGCTTAGAAATGAAACATCGACTCGAATGGAACGGCAGCGCTATGTCAGGACAAGCTGGTGGCCATGCATGTGAGCGCACAGCGGTATGTGAGTAATGCATTACCCGAAAAAGTAGGTAACAAGGAGAAAATTCCATGGGCATATGATAAGGATAAGGGAAATGAACATTCATTTTGGGATCGGATGGCCGAAGGTCGAATGTTCGTTCAAAGTTTCATGCAGTCAATCCGCACCGTTAGGGAATGGAGTTACAGTGTTTTCACTTATCCACCGCAAATATGTACGTAGACGGAATCGGACCAAGCCGCGGGGAACAACGCTCCGTAACGGTACTAGACTTCTGTTTGAATAAATTTTAAGGGTGATGAAATAGGCCAAGGGTGGCATACAGATTGCGATAGGGATTCCCCCGAATGGCCTTCGGTCCCGAATGCGTGAGCTACGTATGGGTCGGCCTGTGGAGCTATTGTGCACCACACAGGGTATGTATACCCAGCATAACATTGGAGAGCGTGAGGATACGTATGCATGTGTGCATGAAGTCGAGTTGAACAGCCGTCCGCACTTAACAGAGGCATTTGAGTAATAGAATTGTCTTATGAGCCGCATAGATCCTTAAGGCATTGTGCTCCGGCATGGTTTGCTAGCCGGCTGCAGGTTACGCGTTGAGGATGCTGTGCGTGGAACGCTGTGCTCGTATGTTCGAACTGGATCTCCGTGTCTTCTCAGTATTGCGATGCTAGCGATCCAGAAGTTGAGGTCCTGAGCAGAACCCGCTGACATTGGAAAGATGCTGTGGGGCAACTGCAACGTGGGGACATTGTCCGCGATGAGTCGGTGCGGGGTTACGTGCACCACACAAACTGGCTGACGCTAGCTTGCATGAGCACTTGACAGCTAAGACACATCCATACAAGTGGATTTTTGCAGAGTTTTGATATACAGTTGCGGACAGGCAAAGTCTGAAAGAAATTTTAATCTCCATGAAAAAGCCTGGAAACATGATAAAACGACGTATTTTGGGTATCCGAGTTCATTCCGAGCTGGCTTTCCGACACTAAATTCTGTTGGAGGAACCGTGTTGTTGTTGTTGTACTCTATTTTGTTACCCCGCGGCCGCGTTTGTACGTGGCAGTGCGGCTAGCCCGACTAATAATTACATCTGAATGTACATGAGGGGCTCGTCAATACAAGGTAGGGTTGTCTGGTTGGTGTGGTCAGGGTGACGGGGTCCTCTGGGTTGTGATGTCTGGGTTTAAGTCTTATCTGGATATGTTGGAGAACATAATATGTTCCCAATAGTATAGAGTTTAACAGCCTATACCGGCATGGCTCAAGGGTGAGTAGTGTATGGATGCACACTAGAGGTAGGCTTGTCCATGATTTTATGTCCTTGCCACGTGACCTGGATTTGAAGCCATTTGAATTGGAGCTCCGGATAAGTCCAGTAGTCGCACCGGATACAATTTTGACAGGATATGCATGGGGGTGTAGTGATGTCTATGTCACTCCTCTCTCCCTACAGGGGGTCACTGGTTGGGTACTCCTGTTTCCTGTTCCCCTGTTGTCAGGGCACACACCCTGACTAGCCCGGACCCGGACCCGCGTCTGGACCCGCTTCCACCTGCCATGCTTCCTGCATGCGTGTATGCTCCGGGCCCAGTTCCTACCCCTTCATGTGACTTCCGGGTATCCCCGGAAGTTTTCCTGATATGGTGGCCACTGTGGGAAGATGAGAAGTTAGCTTCCTTCTCATCTTCTTACCCACAGTGTCAGGGACTCGTCTGGGGTCGAGGGGGCCCGGGTGTAGCGTCCGGGACTGAGAGCCTGGTGGGGGGCGGATCGGGCGTGCGTACTGACAGGCCTGATGCAGGACAGTGGTCCCTGGCCACTTAGACTGAAGTGGAAAGTTGAGAAGAAGGCTACTTCTTCGGTTCCCACTTCAGGTTCGTTTATATACATGTGGCTTAGATCACATGACGGGTGCCACGTCACCCTCGCACACAGCCGTAACCACCCGGGTATCTCCGTGGGAGATCCCGAGGGCATCCGGTGCAGGCACGTGTACTGGGCACAGTGGGAAGTCACCCGAGGTGCCCGGTCCAGGTACATGGTGGGCGCGCTGCAGATGGGTCAATGGTACATTGATACAAAGAAAGTCATCCATGTAGAATAAAGAGAGAAATAAAGAAGAAGTAGGATAGGGAGAAAGTGAGGAGGGAAGAATGAGGAGGGAGGAAGGGAAAGGGGGAGGAGGTAAGGAAGGGTGGACAGCGGGGTACCGGGTCAGGTTGGGCCAGGTGGAGTCGGGTCAGGCGGGTGTGCCCTGACATCACCCCCCCCCCTTAAGCCGCTTCGTGTCAGGGACAGCTCCAAAAGCGGCGAGGTCCCGGCGCGAGGGACCCAATGGGACAGATGTCGGCTATGCGTAGTGGCGGTCCCATTACGGGGTGAGTGTCCCTGACCACTTAGTCTGAAGTGGGAAGTTGAGAAGAAGGCTGCTTCTTCTGTTCCCACCCCAGGTGCTATTATACATGCGGTTGGGGTCACGTGGGAGGAGCCACGTCATCCCCGCACATAGCCGCACTCCCCTGGGTATCTCTGTGGGAGATCCCGGAGGTGTGCTGCTCTGTGAGTGGGAATGCACGCGGCGATCGGGGGAGTGGGGTTAGGTGTGTAGTAATACATAGAGAAGGGGAAGTCGACCATGGAATGGAAATAGAAAGAAAGAAGGAAAAGGGGAAAGAAGAAACAGGGAGTGGTAGCGGGGGAGCGGAGTAGGGCGGCGCAGCGCGGGGTCAGGTGGGGTGTGCCCTGACATCACCCCCCTCTTAAGCCGCTTCGCCTCGAAGCGGCTGGGCAGTTCTCTCTTTCTCTCCCTGGGGCATGTGGGTGCGTCCGGTGGAACTCCTCGACTAGGTCTGAGGTGTGGGTTAGGTCGTCGCGTGTGAGCCATTGGTTTTCTGAGTGTGGCCAGCCTGTATACTTTACCAGGTACCGGAGTTTTCGGCATAGCCACTTAGAGTCCAGGATTTTCTCCACTTCGTACTCCTCTTCTCCATCTACAAGGTCTGGGCCTGGGCGGGGGTTGGCGGGGCGTTCCGCAATCTCGTCAGGGCGGTGCGGTCTGATGTTTGTTACAGATACGACTGGGTGGATCCCTCTTTGTCGGGTGGTGAGTTGGAGTTTGACAGTGGCAGGGGAGACGACTTTAATAATCGTGAAGGGGCTGGTCCATTTATGGTCCAGCTTCTTGGTTGGGCGGTCTGTCGTGTAATTCTGGGTGCTGAGCCAGACCTGGTCGCCTTCTTGGTACATAGGGGCCGCCTCATGGTTCCGGTCATAGTAGCGGGCCATCTCGTCCGCCGCATGCTCTAGCGCCGCCTTTGCCTCTTCTTGCATCTTCATCATCCTCGATGAGAAGGCATCAGTGGCTTCTACTTCGGATGTGCGTGTGGGCTCCGTCCCCATCCTAGGGTGTTGGCCAGTGTTGAGCTTGAAAGGGGTTCGGCGGGTGGAGGAGTGGATGCGGTTGTTATAGGCGAACTCCACTAGTGGGAGCCAGTCCGCCCAGTCGTCTTGGCGATGGTTGACAAATACCCGGAAGTAAGCCTCTACCTCTTGGTTTACTCTCTCCGTCTGCCCGTCTGTCTGGGGGTGGTAGGGCATTGAGGGGGTGAGTTTGACGCCGAGGAGGTCCGCGAGTTCTTTCGAGAATCGCGAGACGAATGCGCTCCCTCTGTCGCTGAGGATCTCTTCAGGGAGACCGTGGTGCTTCCAGACGTGTTCAAGGAAAAGCCACGCGATCCCTGCTGAGTCCACCGTTGTCACCGTTGGAATTGCATGGATGCATTTGGATAGGCAGTCCACCACGACCAGGACGGCATTGTAGCCCTTGGACTCGGGGAGTTCTCCAATCATGTCTACTGAGATTACTTGCCAGCAGCGGGTGGG